ATGCCTGAAATGCATGCACTGCATCACTGGTGTTCAAGAGGTTAATGTTTTTGGGGGGCATGTTTTGTAGCACCCTTAATCCTTAGAGGCCATGGCACACAAGAGGTTAATGTCCATGGGTTGGGGGGCTAACCTGGGGTCCCAGAACCAGTCCCTTGGGGCCAAGGGGTGGGGAAGGTAAGCAGGGCTGCCCCCCAGTCCCTGCCCCATGGCTCAGACAGGAGCCAGAGCCTGGCTGGGAGCAGCAGTGCCTGAAATGGTCATGAGCGGGTGGCAAGGCAGCGAGCCATGTAAAGGAATCCCTGCCTGCAGCTCCCAGCATGCCTGGCTGCCTGTCCTGCCTGCCAGCCTGGCCTGGGGCGGGGGTTCTTTCGCCCTCCCCAGACAGCAGTCGTACCCTGGGGCTGTGACTTACGCTGCTGCTCCCCACCTTCCCTGCTGCAGGGTGCTGGCAATGCGGTTAAGAGAGCGTCAGACAATCTGGTGAAGGCAGCGCAGAAGGCAGCCGCCTTCCAGGACCATGACGAAACGGTGGTGGTGAAGGAGAAGATGGTTGGGGGAATTGCACAGGTGAGGAGCAGGGCTGCTCTGACAGGGCAGGGGTGGCTCCGGCTGCCACCACAACCTGCGCGTGCCTGTCTCAGGAGCATGTCCTACCACCCTCCAGCACGGGGCATGTCTCCAGAGAGCCTCACAAACGTGCTGTGGGTGCACCCATCCCACCCAGCACCAGTTAAACACTGTGGCTCCACCCTTGTCCTGCCACATGTAGCAGTGGGCACAACTGGTGATGCTGCACACTCCCAGGAGTGTAATGTCCTGGCTTCTCCTTGGTGCGGTGCCCACACCATCGCAGTGTTCATGACACCTGTGAAGGGCAGAGGATTGGGTAAGGGGTGAGAGCTGCCTGGTACAGGGTGCCACAGGTACCGGCACTGTCTCCTTGCCACAGACTCACAGCTGAGACCCTCTACAGGGTGTGTGGGGCTGAGCCCCAGGAGTTGTGCTGCTCCCCGTTATCTCCAGAGGACCATGGTCCCACTGCAGGGACAACAGCCCTCTTGCCCAGGGCCGCACCAGCCCAGGGCGGCTGTGGCTGTGATGGGGGGGAAGCAGCAGCCGGAGAGCCCGATTCTGGGCTCGGCAGTGCTACAGCAGCAGCTCCGGCCATCCGTGTCGGAGGCAGCCATGACCCCAGGGCTCTCTCCTGGCAGATCATCGCCGCCCAGGAGGAGATGCTGCGCAAGGAGCGGGAGCTGGAGGAGGCTCGGAAGAAGCTGGCCATGATCCGGCAGCAGCAGTACAAGTTCCTGCCCTCGGAGCTGCGGGATGAGGAGCAGAACTGAGCCCTGCGCCCTCCGGCCGCTCACTGCCCAGACTGCCGCCCGCTCGCTCCTATTTAAGACAACCCACCTCAAGCGAAGGGCTGCCTGGGCTAGACCAGAGCTCTGCCTGCACCCAGAGCGCCGTGCCTAACCCACCCACCGCTCCAAGCCGGTGCTGCACCAGCAACTCTGCTTTGCCGCCCAGCCCACCTTTCCACATGCACCCAGGGCACGGCTAGAGCGCCCGGAGGGACCTGGTTGGGGTGGGTTGCACTGGCTCAGAGCTCATCTGCCAGCCCCAGGGTGCGGGGTCGGAGAGCTCTCAACTATAGGGGATTTTTTTCTGTGTGCCTTTGTCGTTCTCACTTGTGCTCCTTTCTTCTCTCTCCTCTGCCATGGGAGGGGGAGAGGCGGGTGGCTTGCCCTCTCTTGTGCAATGGCGTGCAGGGAGCAGCATGGTCCCTCGCTGAGCTCTCGCACGGAGCCGCCTTTCACCTCCAATGCCTTATTGCTGGCTGAATCCTCCTCCTCCTCCTCCTCTTCCTCCACAGCTTCCCTGGGAGGCACTGAACCTCCCCGTGAGCATCGTCTTCAGCCTGGGCCCCTCTGGGGAGTAGCGGGGCTGGAAGCCACAGTGCCTCCCTTCGGAGGGGAGCAATGGATTCACCCCCAGAGCTGCTCTTTGCCTTCCCGCAGGGCTTCCCCCTGCCTGCAGCCCCAGCCAGCTCTGCCCTCCTCCTCTTTCCCAAGTGCCTGCATCATTTTCCAAGATCTGCAGTATTTTTGTAACTTTTCCATTTCTCTAGTATTGAGCCTGCAGCTTTCAAAGTTCATTTATTCCCTTCCCTCCGCCCCTCCTCCCCCAAGCTCATGCTCTGCCCACTAACATCCAGCTCTCACCGGGGTCCCGCAGCCCAGCATCCCGCCCCTCCTTGGCTCCAGGACCCCCATCCCTCCCCCTTTGCACTTGCTGAGGCTTCTCTCACTATTTTGATACTTTAAGCATCCTATATAAAACATTGGAGGAAAACAGCTCCCCCCGAGGCTCCGGGGTGGGGTGGGGGATGGCCAATGTCTCCTTGAAAGACGCATTCATCAATAAAATCTGGTTTTCCTGCTTTCTTGCCGCCTGGGTATCAACAGCACCCTCCCCATCCCCCTGCAGAGAAAGGGAGGGCTGGTGGGCAGGGGGGCCACGGGTGTCCTGGTGGAGGCAGGCAGGGGAGCGTAGCACGGGTGCTTATACAGCACG